ACCAACGAAGGGATGGTTGGGTTTGGGTTTTTTTTTTTCTCTATAAGAAACAGAAGAGAATATATTCATTAAAAGAAGGCTCCAAGAAGAGGGAAATACACCCTCAAAGCGGAGGGTAGAGAGAACCCTTCCCAAGGAATTATACAATCGCGGCTTTCCAATCTTGTATAATCAAACGAAAATTGTAGTTACAAAAAACCTCCTTGTAGATGAGTGCCCACCAAGAAGCACCCCTTTATCTTCAAAAAGCCCATTATTCCTCTCCCTCCAAAGAAGCCAAAGGAGAGCCATCGCCGTACAATTCCAAAAGACAAACGTCTTCCCTTTGAGAGCGGAGCCACCAAAGCCTTCCATAATAATGAAATCGTCAATTTTTCTTGGAGGACAGAAGGAAACATCTAATAGTGTTGCCACATAATTCCAAGCCTTGGTAGCGAATGGACACTGCAAAAAGAGGTGATCCACGTTTTCATTATCCTTCCAACACATACCACAAGCGGCTGGGAAGAGAGCCCAATGGGAGGGTTTCCACTGAATTCTCTCCGTCGTATTCGTGCCTCTGTAAAAAAGTGTCCAAAGGAAAACCTTGACCTTTTTAGGAACTCTACTCTACAAATGAGAGCTGCGGTCTAATTCAGCCTAGGCAAAGGGGAAGTAATGGCCAAAAAAAGAAAGCTGATTTTACTGTCAGCCTTCGACCAGATTTGATCTCTACCTTGACCAATAATTGCCCCATCAAGCTTTCCCATCATTGCTACCCATCTGTCCACCTCCCTTTCAAAAAGGTTTCTTCTCAAGCCTAAGTCCCACGTTCATTAATGGAGGATCCATGTTCCAAAATAACCTTTTGCTTTATCAAGGCCTCCAAATTTAAGTTCAATGTTCTCATAATAACGACAAGTAATTTTGAGAAAGCACCGGACGTTTTTCCCTCAAGTTTTTTCTTTCTTTTCCCTTGAAGCAATACTCTAAAAAGTTATCCCAAATTCACTCTTAGTAGGCTTAAGAAGTAGTCATTGTAGAATTTAGCAAATCGAGGAAAAAGAGACTCCCTAACTCGAAGAGAATATCTAGTAGTAATATCTCGCTAGTGCATTTAGTCATATCCTAAATTCGCCTCCCAAAACTTTCATTAAAAATGAATAGGAAGGTTGACATTTAAAGATGTTAAAGATTGATCGTCGTTGCTATTGCCCGAAAATAATTCCAGCATTGTTGGAGACACATTGTCAAACTTTCTTCCAGAACTTCAACTTTTGCTGGTGGGTATCCTGTCACAGAATAGAATCACCAGAACTTGCCATCCTAATCCAACATTCTATAATTTATATTTGGTACAACAAATTGGATGAAAAAACCATAGTTTGGTTTGCTAGACATCATCAAAACCCAGCCCCAAGAGGTTCGGAGATTGAAGCAACTTCTTCGGATGGCCTATTGCTTCAAAGCTCCCAAGGTGGAGAACCATGGAAATCAGGTCCCATCTCAGGTATGATATATGACACAGACAATCCTGTGCTTCTAGATTCAAATTCTAAACCCTTATGGGAGAGTTTCAAACAACCACTGACACTCTGCTTCCTACTCAAAAAATGGAGGTAAATAACTTCCTTTCTACTCATTATGAAAGTTCCAATTTTGCTTGTATGACGGTAATGCTGTACTCAATATCAGAAGTTTGCCCACCGTCTATACTTATGAACCCTACCATGTTGCACAAGCCTTTGATGGTTACGAAATTGTTTCAGATATACAATGCAAAGAACAAGAAGAAATTTACCCTACTCGAACTCATTATTACCAAGTCACTCTTAATTTTGATGGTGTCCTCACCATTAGTCACCATACGAGGAATCCTTCAGCTTTAACCTGGATGAACTTTAAGAAGATACCAAATAATATTTGCACTGCTATGCGTGGAAACTTGCGCTCTGGAGTTTGTGGATACAACCGTATTTTGCACATTTCACAATGATCAACGGCCAAGTTGCAAGTGTCCACCAGATTATTCATCCATTGACCCAGATAATAAGTATAGCAACTGCACGCCAAACATTCCCCAAATATCTGAAGAAGGTGCGAAAAATTCAACCATGATCTATATAGTCTACAAGATCTTCCAAATACTGATTGGCCAATACTGGATTATGAGTTGATAAGGCCTTTTGCTGGTGAAGAGTGCAAAAATACTTGCTTGCTCGATTGCCCCTGTGTGGTAGCTGTATATAGAGAGAATAGTTGTTGGAAGAAGAAGCTAACACTCTCAAATGAGAGGGAAGATAGTAGTGAAAATCTGCTAGTTCCGTGGGGCAAAAATTTGATCTTCCAAAACTTGATAGAAGGAAGAATCAAGACACATTAATCCTGGTGATTTCCATATTGTTAGCTTGCTCTCTATTTGTCATTCTCATACTGGTTAGTTTGATATGCCAGTACTGCAGCAAGAAAATTGTTGATAGATTCCTGCCCAGGAAAAGTTTCAAAAGAAGTCTACATCAATTTACATATAAAGAACTTGGAAAAGCTTGTGAGAGTCCTAGAAAGGATAGTTTGAGAATATTATTAGTATATTAGTGGGAGGGTATTATGATAATTAGTCGGGGGTGATTTGTTATAAATACTAAATAGGGCCCTAAGGGTAGTAGGGAGAGGAGAAGGATATCTTGGGAAATAGTTTGTGGTGAAGAACTTAACAGAGTTCTTGGGAGAGAGATAGTCCTCTCAAAAGACTATTGATATTGTAATTTCTCTTGATATTGCAATATAGTTATCTTTGTTTCATTTAAAGTATTTGGGATCCTAAAAAAGCTACAAATGGGTTCGGGGAAGAACTTGGAAGAGGATCTTGTGGCATTGTTTACAAAAGGGCGATCAAAGTTGGCCCTATTGCTGTTAAGAAATTGGACAAAATGTTTGAAGACGGTAGAGAGAATTCAGAACTGAGTTGAGTGTGGTTGGCAAACACGTCACAAAATTATTGTTCGCCTACTCGGATAATGTGGTGATGGTAAAAATTGCATCCTAATTTATGATTTTATGAGCCATGGCAACCTAGCAAGCTTCCTTTTTGTTGACTTAAGGCTATTTTGGAACCTCAGAACCGAAATAGCCAACAGAATTGCTAGAGGACTCTCGGACTTACACGAAGAATGCAGCACGGAGATCATGTATTACGATATAAAGCCTCAAAATATACTCCTTGACGAATATTACAATGCCAAAAATTCCGATTTCGGATTGGCAAAGCTATTGAAAATGGATCAAAATGGATACAGAGTTGAAACTGATATCAAAGGGACAACAGGGTACATAGCTCCAGATTGGTTCAAGTCGGATCCAGTGACTACCAAGGTTGATGTGTATAGTTTTGGTGTCCTGCTAGAAATCATTTGTTGCAGAAGGAATGAGATGTGCAAGCTTTGGAAGAGGGAAGAGAAATGTTAGTGCCAAGGAAGATTAGATGTTCTAATGGAAGGTGATTTGGAGGCCATTGATGACATGAGGAGGTTGGAAAGGTTTGTAATGGTTGCAATTTTGTGCCTTCAAGAAGACCCATCTGAAAGACCCACAACGAAAGAGGTAATACTGATGGTTGAAGGCATGTTCCTGTTCCTATACCTCCAAGTCCCTGCCCTTTCACCTCCACCTGTAGAGAAATTTCTTCAGTCCATTAGTTCATGGTAAATCAATATGTTTACCTGATAAGTAGATTCAACCTCATGGGTGAAATATTTGCACTGTAAATATTAGAAAGTCGAAGAAAAATGAGAATCCATAACTCAAAAGAATCTCTATATCTACCTCCCAAAAGTTTTAGGGCGATGGTTCTATACATTTTTTTGTCAAATGATGGTGTTCCTAGAATCGCATCGATACTGCCTGGTAGTATTTCCAATATTTCTTAATCCACATCGTAAGCCTTCTCTCCCAAACCTTCAGCTTCTGCGGGTGATATCTCACCACAGCATAAAATCTCCACTTGCAACCTTATATAGTTTCAACATTTCCAAGATAAATCAATATTCCAAAAGAAACTTAAGAGAATCTCCAGAAGACACTTTTCTATAAGAGAAACCAAATTACCAATTCTAAAACTTTGTTTCTAACCTCTTGATACTGGAAACTATCAAGGTGAAGAGAAATGGCACAAAACATGGACTACAAGAAAGAATGAAACCATTCAAGGCAAATTAAGACTAAGAGAGTCTGCAGTATTCCTAATTTTGTTTAAATTACTGAAATCGTTTTGAACAAAGCCCTACAGTTTCTTTCATTAGAAAACAGATACAATCAGGATAGTAAAGGGAAAGAAAAGGAGAGAGACTAGAACACTATTTGACTATTTGATCAGATGGTAAAAATTGAAGTTCTTTGTGTCCTTGAAATATTCATTCACAGAAGTCTCTGATTTTCAAAAGAAGAATAAATTCAATTGCTTGGATAAAGAAGTCATCGCAAGAATCAGATCCATAAATCGCTTCAATGAATTCTGTTCTGAACAATAAAAATAACTTTTTAAACTCAACCCCACAAACAAACTTTTTAAACTCAACCCCACAAACAATTCAATGAATTCTGTTCTAAACAATAAAAATAACTTTTTAAACTCAACCCCACAAACAAATCAAGGTGTGTGTCCTAATACAACTAAAAGAAGATTGGATCAACTGGATCTTTTTTTCATTGCAATAATACAAATACATAATAATATACAAACTATCATTGTTTGGTCTAATGGTTAATAAGGTCCAATGTAAATAGTAAAGGGCTTAGAAGGAATAGTTCAAACCATAGTAGCCACCTACCTAAGATTTAATATCCTATGAGTTACCTTAATAACCAAATGTAGTAGGTCGGACAATTCTTCCATGACATTAGTCGAAATTCATGCAAGCTTGTCCGGACACTCATGGATATAAAAAAAGGAATATATATATAAAAAGAATATATATATATATATATATATACACACAATATTATACAAACACAAATACACAATATTATCGTCCATGAACGCTATCCCAAGGCTGTAAAACTGCTTTTCTCTCAACAATTTAACTACAATACGATAAACCATGGATATGAATGAAGAAATGGAAATGAGAGAATTACTAAATTTGACGTTATATCATAAAGAAAAATAATAACTGAACATTAGTGTTCGAGATTATAACACTGACTTGACAATATTATATACATACAGACATTCTATCAATAAATTTTTTCCTTTTGTGTGTGTGGCGTAGAGGAAGCTATCAAATCATGAAGAACAAGAAAGCATACAAACACCCGGTCGATAAGCCCAAGCAGGGGGTAACCGTGCATATTTCTCCATTCCTGGCTGCTCATCATATGGCCGTTCCATTATCTTCAGCAGCCGACGAACCTCCCCAAAATCACCCTGCTCAGCCGCATCTATGGCAGTCTGGCATAGGTAGTTCCTCAGAATATATTTAGGATTTACTGCATCCATAGAGGCCTTCCGCTCCTCATCTGAGATTCCACTTCCAGCGAGCTGCAAAAGCAGTAGGATACTGGATTAGATAAAATAGAACTAATTTATCTTTCTAAATAGATATTCAAAACATGCCAACAACGTTCCTCCAATGAAGAATGCATTTATGAACTAAGTAAGCTGTTCATGAGATCTGGGCATAAACTCTAGCCAACGCAAACAGGACCATGAGATGTACTGTAAGCTGTTGGGTTGGAGCCAGGAGGTTTTATGATTGGATTCCAGATACTCGCTCACTCCTCAGATTAGGATACAGAGGATAAGTTTTAAGCCAATGACAATTATATCAGTTTGACACTTTCATCTTCTCCATCTAAAATGAAAAATAAGAATATATATGTCTAAACAGGTGGCTTTCCTTGATACTTATTGATGACTCCAGTTTGTTATAGTTGTTATAACTTTTAACCCAACGGCTTCAAAACAGATCAAGAAAAATATGGAAAAAAAAACATTTAAGAAAATATGAAATTATAAATTGGAAAAGGTCAATTTTACCATTGATATTCACAAGGATAGAACCATTACTAACTGAAATATTAACTACTGATAGGAGTTAAGTTGAAGTTAAAGGCTGCACAACATTATTCAACTGACAAAATGGAAGTTCGGTGACATTTATAAGTTGCACTCTTCATCTACATTTACTTTTCCTCTGACTAAGGTTTTCCCATCACATAACATGTCAAAGATGAATCATATAGGATTTGTTTTTAGGAAGAATATATTTTTTACTCCTATGAGTCAATTTTAACCTTAAACTCTCAATTTCATTAGATTGAACCCTAAACTTAAATAGGTGGCCAAATTAACTCTCAATTTCATTAGTTTAACCATTTTTTTTTCAGGTAAGAAACTTGTGTATGACTCAATAAAAGAGGACAACCTAAGGGCTGGGGTAGAGCCGTAAAGGGAACCCCACCCAAGGACTAAACCAACTCTTTCCAATTGTTTGTGACCATGGAAAGGTTGTAATTACAAAAGAATTTTCTATAGTTGATGCACCACCAAGAGGCGGTACATTTTTACAAAAAAAAACTCAAAAGAAATATTCTTATCCTCAAAAGTCCTCTGGTTTCTTTCCAGCCACAAATGCCAAACAAAAGCTCTTGCAGCACATCCCCACATGAATTTCTTCTTTCTAGGGAGATTCCACCCGTGTAAAACTTCTGAAAGCCAATCATCTATTTGGTTTGGAATACAAACCGAAACCCCAAAAACATTCAGCAGGAAGTTCCAACGTCTAACAGCAACAGGGCAGTGGATGAATAAATGGTCTAAACTCTCACTGTTGCTCATGCATAAGCTACCAACCGAGGGAGACAGCAGCCACTTCTTGCATTTCTTCTGCAGGGTATCTTGAGTGTTTAAACTTCAGTGTGCAAGGGACCACAGAAACACCTTCACTTTCTTTGGTGAAGTGAATTTCCAGATTGCTGAAAGGAGAGAAGGTCTTACCGAAGGGGTACACTCCAGCATTTGCAGGCAAGTGGAATGGGTGGAGTAAGTCCCTGCTTTGTCTAACGGTCATCTCACTTGATCTTCTCCTGCTCCAAGTCTGACTACATCGATTAAACTAATAAAATCCACCCAGTTGTCTATCTCCCAATCAAAAAGGCCTCTTTGAAAGCCTAAGTTCCAATCATTTTCATCTCTGTTCCAGCACTCCTCTATTGTAGCTTCTTTCTTTGTGGAAATGTTAAACAAAGCGGGGAAGGAGTGTTTCAGAGGTTGTTCACCCACCCATCTATCTGACCAGAACTTTATCCTATTGCCGGTTGACACCTTAAACTTGAGGAATCTGAGAAAGAAGGCAGTGTTTTTAGAGATGTCAAACCAAGGCCTTCCTTCCGCTTTTCCTTTAGCAGGACGTGTGAACCAACCATGGCAATCCTCCCCATATATACTCTCAATCACCTTCCTCGAAAGCACATCTTTCTCTTGGGTGAATCTCCAGGAGCAAGCTATTGTTCTTATGTTGGAGGGCTCCAATGTCAAGACCCCCATACTGGAGTGGGCGAATTAATACTCTCAATCCTTGTGGTTGAACAGTTGGTTCTTTTTTTAATGAAAAATCACACTTTCATTGATCAAATGGAAGGATGTACAAACAGGCAATAAAAAACAGTCCAAACTAAGGGGAACCAAGACAAAAACAAAGGTTGTGGCCTTGTGGGTCGCGGGCGTTGATTCTTGTAGTCATGTTGGATACCTTTTTTGTTGGGTTTGGGCATTTTGTTGCTGAATTTGGACTCTTTTTTGTATTTGTTTCCAACTAGGTTTTATTTAAATGATTCAGTTTGAAAATTTTTGTAGCTTGAATTTGAATATTTTATGAGATTTAATTTTGCGTGACTCATCAACACACATGATTTGGTTCAAAGGATGCAACCTTTCCTAAGCATCTCTCCAAATTGCTGCCATCTTTGTTTAAATGATGCTGAAACATAGGGGCACTTATTTATTACTGGTGGTGACTTCGCTGCTGAATTTTGGAACAGAAATTGGGGTGCTTTTTGTTGGAAATCTCCACTTCACAACAACCCAAAGCTTTTCTTCAAGCCCTCTTGGCGGGTCACTCTCCTAAGAAGGAAGCTGGAATCCTATTGGTCCAATAAATCAGAGCTTTCCTGTGGAAAATTTGGCAGGAAAGAAACAGTAGGGATATTCTATGCCAACACCATCGCAGATATAGACATGCAAGCTATATAGGTTTAAAATGTGATTAAAAAATAATAATAATAATTAATTAATTAAAATTTACAAAAAAAAAAAAGGAAAAAAAGGAAAACAACAACAAAATCTATGGCAATGCGAGAACTTCATAATTTTTAACTCAAAATCAACATTTATGTCGGGTGGTGACAAACTAAATCAAGATTTTTAAAAAATGCAAAGGAACAGGAAAACTGATCAGAAATAACAAAGGGAGAAACAGATATATGCAAATATTTGAAGTCACAATTGCTATTTTTGAACCATCAGATATTTTGTCACCATACCTCCTCTATGTAGGTCTTTACCCAGCTAACCCAAGCTTCCTTACGCTCCTTGCCGATATCTAATAGAACTGCCTTCAGAGGGATCAACAGTTCTTCCTCTGGGGTGCTGGGATCAGCTTTGATATTGGAAAGTGATCTAAAGAAATTTGTATAATCGACCTTGTCAACAGCCATGTTGTTGAGAAGCTTACTGATTAACTGTTTATTGTACTTTGGTAGACCAATTTTCTTGGTCATTATTGTTTGGTAGTCATCCATAAATTTGGTTCCGTATCTGTAAATAGAGAGGGAAAATGTCACAATATGAGTGAAATGGAAAATCAACAATTCTAAAACATATAAAAGTCCGACAAAGTAAAACTACCTTTCCATGGCATAGTTTGCTTCTTTATCATTTATTAATTCAGCAGCTGAAAGAGTTGAGGAAAACTGAGCTATATTCCATAAGCCTATATCCGGCTGATTTGCAAAACAATATCTTCTTCCAGGAAGATCAGTTGTATTAGGTGTATAACTAGGATCAAAAGCATCCAAAAATCCAAATGGACCATAATCAATGGTAAGACCCAAGATACTCATATTGTCAGTGTTGAGTACACCATGTGTAAACCCAACTCCCTGCCAACTTGCTACTAAGGAAGCAGTTCGCTCAGCCACCTCTACGGTCCAAGCTGATAACATCATCCATGTAAAGGCAATAGAAACAGAAATGTCAATATGATAACATGCAAGACCCTTTTGTTCAAAAATAGCAAGTTGAATACAACTAAAAGGAGAATTCTCAGCAACCGTGCAATAAGATGGAGAAGATATTTACAACTGCAACAGATAAAAGTTAGTAAAGAGATCACCTAGTTTCAATGCCAGTGAACGTAAGCAAACAAGATTGCATGCACTGGCTCTACAAAAGTTTACAGAAGAGCCAGGAACAGTTGAGAAGTAAATTGTTAATCATGATTCATTACAGAGATCATCCTATCCTTGCTTTGCTAACAAATTCCTCGTTGCTGCGAAATGCCATAAGGAATAAAATTTAAACATGGATCGAGACCAAGGTCTTGAGAGAGAGAAGAACGATCGTCTAATGTTGCTTAATTATAGGCAAGAATCAGCATCCCAATTAGATTTGTAACCATGTAAGCAAACAGAGGCTATTTGGTCCAACTAAAAATTGGCCTTTTAACATATGAAAGATACCGTACATAGAAGCAGCCTCGAGGAACAGAGCACCAGGCCCATGATTCATCAATTAGGATATCAAGAACAATCATGATTCTTGTAGCTAGTAGTTAAGTTTTTTGATAGAGTTCTCAAAAACCCGACCTTGAACAGGATCTGTTCTATAGGCTGTACGTCTATGTCCTTGAGTTCTAAGGAGATAGAGTTCTCAAAAACGTGTCATGCATGAGAGTAAATAAGATAAACTACATAGGTATTGCTAAACTTGAGGCAGCTTCTTGAATGCCAGTTCAAGGGCAAGATACATGTGGGTGTGGGACGTCAGAAATTCAGGAAGCACGAGGAAAATTTCTCATCTTCATAAATTTTAAATAAAGATAATCATCCTACCCTTGTCTCTAACAAATTGGAGCCTTGATTACATTATGAGTAACTTTTGATCTTAAGAAGACAAAAGCAGTCTTTGAAAAACAGTAACAAGAGGAAAACAATACAATGGTATAAAGGACTAGGCAAATTCAGATGATGAAGAATCATAAACCTACACAATCTTAGCATAGCATCAACTAAATGATAACCTAACTTCGCTAAGGATGGAATAAACTGACAATGAAACCACATTAAGAAGATCATCCTCCCCCTATCCCCTTCCAAGCCACCGCAACTCAAAGAAAAGGAAAAATGGAGAATTTAGTTCATTCTTTCCTCTAATGTACCTGTTGACTGATTCTCTCATAAAATAGCAACAAGTAGCGCATTTCAAACTATAGCTTTATTTAATGATATTGAGCAGAAATCTGGGCTTTGTTTTTGTTTTTGTATGCCCTTTTATATGTTTTATGTTTTCATGTGCCTCAATAAAGAGTTCAGTTTCTTATTAAAAAAAAAAAATAAGAAAGTTTTTTCAACAAACAGGTAACCTTTTGTTAAGAATACCCAAAAAAAAATGATATTGAGCAGAAAACACATTTTTACTTAGCTAAAAGAAAGTTTTTTCAACATACAGGTAACCTTTTGTTAAGAATACCCCTATTATTAGGGTGGTAACGACATAATAGTAACTAGCCAAGGAGTTGCGATAAATAGAGGGAGAGATAGTGGGAGGGGATGGAAGAAGGCAACGGCTTTGTGGGTTTAGACTTGAAAATACTCAAAGAGGGAGGAGGGTTCCAAGTACCTCGAATACTAGAAAAATTATCGTACATCTCTATCCTTTTATCTACAATTCATTTTATATATATATATATATATATATGTGTGTGTGTGTGTGTGTGTGTGTGTGAGTATCCGAGTTAGCTTACACGCACTTCAACTAATTTCATGGGACAACCGTCTGACCCTACTATTTTTTTTTTTTATAAGAAACAGAAAGATTGTATTCCAAATCAAAAGGAGCCCAAAACAAAGGCAAAAGAACAGCCTAGAGGCAGAGGGTCGAGAAGACCCTCCCCAAGGGGACTATACAATCAAGGAATTCCAACTTTGTAGAATCAAAGAGAAACCATAATTACAAAAAACCTTGTTATAGATCGAAGCCCACCAAGAAGCTATATGCTTTATATTCACACTGATAGATTCAAAAGAGGCCTCTTTCTCTTCAAAAAGTCTTAGGATATTCACATTGGCCCTTATTGGCCTAGCCTTATTGACAACTAGACCAAACCGTGATGGTTACAATACTATTTTATTTTTAGTTCTAGTTCTTATCATTTTTTTTTTATATCCGTGAGTGTCCGGACCAGCTTACGGGCACCTTAATCTCAACTAGACCAAACCATGATGGTTACAATACCATTTTATTTTTAGTTCCAGTTCTTATCATTTTTTTTTATATCCGTGAGTGTCCGGACCAACTTACGGGCAACTTAATCTCACGGCACAACCACCTGACCCTACAACATTTTGTGTCGGGAAACACATAGAAATTACTAATTCCTAAGGTAGATGGTCATCATGGGAATTTGAACTCATTCCCTCTTAATTAACCCCAGTCCTTTGGACCAATGAATCATTGATGGTTCTTATCATATTTCTAATTTTTTACATTCGTCTTATATATATGCATTTTGCTACCATCTTTAATTTCTAAGCATGAGCTTTTCCTGAAAAATAGATGCACCTTTACTGTGGGGGAAGATAAATTGCTTTGGAATCTTGAGGCCTCAAAAGAGTTTTTCAGTAAACTCTTTACACTCTCATCTTACAAAAGGGATCCCTCTTCCAAAAGCTTCATTCTCCGGTCTGTGGAAATCTTCTTGCCCGACAAAAGTTAATATTCTTTCTTGGATTCTCCTAAATGGGCATTTGAATACAGCAGAAACTTTGCAAAGAAAGATGGCCACCTTCCATTTACAGCCTTCGGTCTGTTGCCTTTGTTATTCTAACAGTGAGACACAAGATCATATCTTCTTCCATTGTCCTTTTGCATCAAGCTGCTGGTCATATCTTTTCCAGCTGTTTAATTTGTCTGGGCTCTTATCGGTTGACACCAAAAGCAACATTCAGCAGCTATTCTTTTGTTCTTTCTCCCTCCCTAAGGCCCAATCTCTTTGGGTTAATGCTATCAAAGCCACTATTTCGGAGTTATGGTTTGAAAGGAACCAACGTATTTTCCATGACAAGAAGAAAGATCGCTCCGAATGGTGTGCCTTCTCGGATTTGTTCCCAAACTATTCTTCATCCATTATTTACAGCAATTGGGAAGCTTTTCTTTCTCTTTTAAGCTCCGTATTTTACATTCTACTTTTATCTCTTTTACACTCCTTTTGGGGCTTGTATCTTTGAACATTGTATGGTTTTTTCCTTAATCAATGAAAATCTTGTTTCTTGTTCAAAAAAAACACAATTCAGTTCAAGTAGCATTTTTGCAACTAGCACTTCATGTCACGAACTATTTTTAACAACGTCTTTAAATACATCTTTTAACAGATACAATTACCTGCATACTTGTTTGAAGTGAGATCAACAACTGAATCATCTTCATTGCCTGTGCTGAAAGATAAACTCTGACTGCTGCTCATATTCTCTAGGTGAGGAAAATGGTGGTGGATCGCGTAGTCTGCTAAAGCCCGAACAATTTTGTAATCATCTTTTCCTCTAGAGGCATGAATTTGGTATGATCCAAAACGCAAAAAGGACTGAGCCACTCTGCATACAATTGCACCAGGCTCCTCTTTTGGATTCCCACTATAAATGGAAACAAACATGGAACTTATTATTGCATTGCCATAATCAACAAGATTTATGTTAAATCTTTTCTTCACATTTTGTAGTTAATTTCCACGTTGTATCATAAAAGTACCTAGATCCGTATATTCAAGAACTCTTCAACATTTTCTGTTTCTTTTAAATGAGAAGTTCGTTTCTTGGTCAAAAAAATACAAAACAATCATGGTCTAAAAATAATTTGGACAATAACTTCGTAATGAAATTCATTTGTGTAAGGGTTTTGCAGAAGAAAAAATGAACTATATTCAGAAATTAAGAGTTCTTTAATTTATGAGGGCTCTATTCAAATGCACATGAAGATATAAGATCATCCTACATACTCATAAAACATATCTCGAGTAACTAATGTTCCTGTGGTCACAACACAAAGTGCACGAGTTGTTGGTATTCCAAGACCGTGCATTGATTCACTACAAAGGAACTCCCGGATGCTACTTCGTAACACAGCCAAGCCATCTGCAAACCGACTGTATGGAGTCTTCCCAGCACCTTTTAGCTGCAACTCCCACCTTTCAGATTGGGAATTAAGTATCTCTCCAAGGGTTATTGCTCGACCATCACCCAACTGTCCAGCCCACATACCAAACTGATGGCCCCCATAACATTGAGCATAAGGCGACCTGTAATACAAAATATTAGCTGGCAGGGATAATGAAAATCACAATGCTGGTGCTGGCAATCAATTAGTGTTTTACACTTACACTCCAACTAATGGAGATGCACCAGAGAACAACAGTGGGAAATCTGGCCTTTGAAATCTGCAATGCCAAAAGCAAAATACTTCAGCTCTTGCAATAAGAATACAACTCTGAGAGAGAGGACATACATGGCATGGATTGGATAAGTTTCAGCATTTTTTTATCTAAACTAACATTAACGTTGCCTGAACATACATCTAATGATGCAAAATTAATGAATCAGTCATCAGAAGTGACTGCATGTGGATTAAGACTGAAATCCAAAGAGAATTATGCGTTAGAACACTCCTGTGACAACCAGTCATACTACCCAAATTCACTTCTTTCTTAATTTAAAATTTTTAAAATGTACATTTAAGAAAAGAAAACAAAGACAGATAAAAAAGAGGGAGAAAAAGAAGAGGAAAAGAACCCAGTCACATATAACTTATAAAAAAAAAAAAGTCCTCCCCAAGAGAGCTTACAGAGGTCCAAAATTTGAAATAATTACTTACCAGATATGCAGTTGCTAAAATCGCTATCTATAAAAACCTAAAAAGGAAGAATGAAATTTTGCCAATTCAAACCCCCCAATTCTTTCCTTCTCATTGAAGGCATTATTGTTTCTTTCCAACCAAGGACAACAAAGTAAGGATTTAATTAAACAAACCCAAAGGTTCTAAGCTTCAACCTTTGAGGAAAGGCATAACAAGTTGAAGAAGATTCATTTCCGGGGAGTTGTAGAAAACCCAAGAAAGATGAAGAATCTGAAGAAGTGAGCTCCAAGCTTTCTTATTAAAAAATCAAAGAAAGATAAACGATCCATTCCTGCACTTGCTTCAAACAGAGAGGACGCAGTGAGGGGAACAAAGCCATTGAAGGGCATCTAATCCATAACTTTTCTACTATACTGAAACCACAAAGACAAGCTGGAGAATTGGAGATACAAACACGTTGACCTTTTTGGTACATTTCCCTTTCCAGATCTCCTTGGATAGCTTCTTTCCTAAGGTCATTACAACACTTCCTAGATTGTAGAATAAGAGATTTGATCGAAAAATCAATTGAAGAATGTAAACTACAAATCCTCACATTCCCTCCCTCCTCAATTTGTGTGTTTTCCAGCAACCTCAACAGCTCAATAATCTCACCAATTTCTGCTTGTGTTAAGTTTCTTCTTGTCAAAATAATCCAACTTCTTTAGCCTACATCTCAAAGTTTATTACCAGTCTTCACCTTGGAATATACTGCAGCCTAGAGGTTGATTATCCCTCCCAACATCTATAAAAGATTTGATCTTCTTTCCATCACCTAATTTGACCAAAAATAATTTTAGGATACAAGTCTTCACCTTGGCAATGTTCCACTCCGGCAACTTCCTTTTTTTTTCATTTATGAACTACTTATCTTCTTTCCATAAATGCTAGAAACACCACTTTGAAAGTGGTAAATCTGGTTGGAATCCTTTAAGAATCACCGCACATTTTGCCATAAACACTTGATTTCTTTCACTCGAGTTCCCAAACCCAAAGACTCCACTCCCAAGACTATTTGCTCTATCTTCCTCTAAGACAGCTTTGTTAAATGAAGCTTTATTTCTTGACACTCTTTTTTGGGACTACATTTTCCGTAAATCCTTAAAAGAAGAAGAAACTACTGATTGTATGGCTCTCTCAAACAAGCTCTTGCCTTTCTCCTTGTTTAATCCGCTAGAGATTAAGGTTGGAGAGAATCTAATGTATTGTATTCTCATTATTAAAGTCTATATATATAGACAAATATACAAGGTTGACCTAATCCTATAAGGAGAAGGTAAATGACAAATTAATATTAATACAAGAATATAAAATATACTAATATATACTCTAACACTCCCCCTCAAGTTGGTGCATATATGTTAATCATGCCCAACTTGTTAGACAAATAATCTATTCGTGCTTCATTCAACTTGTGTTCTGTGATTTTTGATATCATTGGGATCACCTCAGAAGTTACGATTGATTTCTTCTTAGCCATAACAAACAAGCGAACTTATTTGAACAAAACGACAGAACCAGACCAAACCACCCGAACTAAACAAAACATATGAATCAAACGGTTGGAACCAAACCGGATTAGGTGTTTTCTGAAACCAGAAACCCCAAGTGCTCCCCCACGACAACCAGAGGGACGAAGGCGATTGGCGGTGACGGAAGCGCACCGCGACGAAGGTGCGAAGGACGGCGAGACGAAACCCACGAATAGCAATTGGAAAAACAACTGGCAAATCAGCAAACGGCGGCGGCGGTGGTCGTGGTCGGCGGCGGCGGCGGTTGGTGGTCGGCGGCAGCCGGCGGTGGTGCCGGTGGTGGTCGGCGGTGACGGCGGTCGTAGTGAGTTGTGTTGGATAGCAATAAACAAAAACCCTAAGGGACAAAACCCTAATGGGCATTTAGAAGAAACCTAGAGCTCTGATACTATGTAGAGATTAAGGTTGGAGAGAATCCAATGTATTGTATTCTCATTATTAAAGTCTATATATATAGACAAATATACAAAGTTGACCTAATCCTATAAGGAGAAGGTAAATGACAAATTAATATTAATACAAGAATATAAAATATACTAATATATACTCTAACAAATCCTTTTGACACATATACGTGGCCACTGGATCCCACAAGTAAATTCTCAGTCAAATCCATGTACAAGGAGCTAAGTCACCAAAGCAATCTACTAAAGCAATATTTCGAGGGATAAATACACCAAGAAAATCAAGTTCTTTCTTTGGGAACTCAGTCAAAAAAGTTTCAGCTCTCATGCCATTTCTCCCAGCTACTGCACAATGTGTCTGAAAACTCATAAATACAAGGCCACTTATTAGTAACTTGCGAATTTTCTGGTAAATGAACAAGTTTCCCTTGACCTTCGTTTGACAATCTCCGTGGAACACTGACCGCTACATCCTGCTATCTGCTATATGGAAGCTCAGGTGCAACTGGTGTGAGCTTTTTTATGTGGTGCCCATGGACAGAAAGGAACGATCAGATGTTCAAGATACTTAAAATCTTTAAGATCACATTCCAGGTTGTGGGGTTAAAAAGTTTGCACAAGAGAAGGGTCGTAATGCTAGAGGGATTCCTCATATGGGGACTGACACATCTCCAAATTAAATTCCCCAAAAAGAAGTCTTTCAACAAATCCTTATATCAGAAATGAGAGCTTGGTGCCCAATTCTTCAAGACACTCAATTATAATTTTAGTCAGATTTTTTACAGTTTTAGGTGAAATTTTTTAGAAGAAAGTGGGTGATGTTGTAGGGAGATGATGGTGCCCACAACAAGTGAAAGTGTTCTGTCGGTTAGCTCGTTTTATTTATGGTCAAAGTTTCATTGAGAAACATGAAAAAATACTAAAGAGCATAAAATATACAGTAAGACAAAAGGAGTCAACCCTAAGATAACTAAACAAAAAAAAAAGGCTCCAATCCAAAAGGATAAGCCTCGATGGATAATTAAAAAATCATTGGATACTAACACCCAAAGAGAAGCATTGAACTTAGCTAGAACCAAACCTTTTGCGAGACATCTTAGCCCCTCTAAAAATCTTGCTAGTCCTCTCAAGATAAATGCTCCACAAAATAGCAAAACAACCAGAACACCAAAAGATATGTCCCTTGTTACAAAAGAGCAAAAATAGAATAACCTCCTCTGTCATTGAACAAAAGTCCCCACTTCAAGTCAGACAAACACCAAACAACTCCAAAAAAGAACAATCCCAAATCAACCATGTGAACCAACAGCCAAAGGATAGAGATGATTAAGATGAGATCCTCGATGAAAAGAAAGGAGACCTTCAATAGGATCTGCATCGGCGTCAATATATCTAAATATATTCGCATTTCATTCAAAATTAAACAAGAATGATAAAAGATCTTTAAACTATATCTTAAACGTCTAGTAGAGTGTACAATATATGAGACTGTGATATTTAAGATGTTGCTCAAACTAAACGTCCATGTTTCATAAGTTATAGCACATAGTGCATATACGGCATCAATCAAAAATCAGAAGAAATACCAAATACGTGAACTCACTCTTGAGGATCCAACTCTAGCAAATCAGCAACCGATTCTGACCAAGCAACAAGCTGAGGACTTTCTACTTCAACTGAAGGTAATACATTTGAATAACATGCATGCAATACCTGAGATTCAAAGTGTAGATAAACTAACCAATCACAGATTCACAATAGCAGAATAACCCATTAAACCAAATCCAATCTCGGACAGAAAATGCCTGTAGCATAGCTAAATAAATGCAATCATTTTATAAACGAGATATAACAGCAACAGCAGCACATGAAAGTTCTGCATACAGTTAGATTATGGCTCAAAACGACCCGAAACATATGAAACTAGCATCGGAGATCAAGTAAACCGTAGAACCTTCTCTTTTGAATCAAAATGAAAACACGATAACATAAACTATAAATCTCGTTTCATCTGTTTATCATCTTATACACCAAATAGAGGGTAAATCAAAATCACAACCCATTTTATCACCGAGAAGTAAGTGAAAAAAATATAGTAAGAATAAGCCACTAAACTACAGCTTATAGAAAAATTCATACTCGAGCTTTCAATTTATTACACACAATTCTTCCCATACTCCACATTTCCGATAAATTCAAGTAACAACCCCAATCCCCAATCCCCAATAACCATTTAAATTAGGGGAAAAAAACAAAATAAGCTGAAAACAAAGAAATAGAACCTCTCGTGGAATGATATCCGTGCGGGGATCGCCGGGGAGCTCTCTAACGAAGGAATTATCCCAGTTCAGATCTTCGAGCTTCTTTTTCACCTTGTTCTTGAGGCTACTTCCTTCGTGTTCATGATCATCGCTGTTCAAGCTCTGATTCTTCAAATCCTGCGCCACGGAGTCGACCGACACCGAAACTGAAACCTCCGGTGAAGCAGAGTCCATAGAAACTCTCCGGCGACGGTGGCCAAAGTGTCCGGCGAGTGGGGGAGGCGGAGAGACGAGAGAGGAGGAGGAGGTGCGAATGAGGAGACTGGAAGGGCGGC